TTTCTTCTTTTGGTTCTTCTTGAATAGATTGTTGTGGTTGTTCAATGACAGGTTCTTTAATTTCTTCTTTTGGTTCTTCTGATTGTTGAGGTTGAACTTCTGGTAAAGGTTTATTAATGTCAGATCCTTTATAAGGAGTTTCTTGAGAACCAGCTAAACAATCAGTATTAACACTAATAGGAGCATCAGGTGAGGTTTTAATTGGTTGAGGTTGTTTTCTCCATAATTTAAATTCACATTGTTTGAAATAACGTTTTCCATCTTCTTCAATTAATACTAAATGTAAATGATAAGTGACGCTAAACATATTATTAACATTATGATATGTTGGAGTTAAATCTAAATTAGCTAAAAACACTCTAATTGGCATTGATTCTCCTTTAACTGGTGCACCATCCATAAGTTCATAACGAGAAAGAACTTCAGTATCAACGGTTTGATTTGGTGGAAATCCAGTTGTTTCTTTTCTTTGGATTTGAAGTTCCATACTAGCCAAAGGGAGTCTTACAACCTTAAAGTAAACTTGACCTAATACAACATCAGTTAAATTATAATATGATTTAGCATATTTAAATTCAATACTTACACATTTTTCTACACCTACATCCATTAAAATTGGATCATTTTTAGTAGGTTCATCTTGATAATTAATAACCCAAATTTCTTGTTCTTTAGAAAGTCCAGATGAATACTTTTTATTAACTGACACTCTTAAATAATATCTTAGTCTTACATTCTTTCCTGAATATGAATCATATTTTTTATCAATTCCATTAAAACTAAATGGATACATTGTTTTTTCTTCTAATATAATATTTGGTCTACTTAATTCAACTGTTTGTTGAATAAAATTCGATGTAGAACTTCGGTCATATGAATATTCTATTGACCCAATAAAATCAATTTTAATTCCTTGATGTTCATACTTTTTATCTTTTAATGTAATAACAACTTTTCCTTTAATATCTTCATTCTTCATATAAATAGGAATTTCTGTTTTTTGTTTATTAACTATTTTAGTAACTTTTTGTTTTTCATGGTCATTGTCTAATAGAATATCAATTTGAATTGGTGTACCAAATAAGAAAGCCATTCTTCTATTTTGAAGTTCCTCTTTCTTTTTTTCTAGTTTTTGCAATTTTCATTTTTTCTCTTTTTTTTTTCTTTATTTGTGTATTTATACATTTTTCTCCTATAAAATAGATTAATATTCTTTATTTTTTATCTTCTTAAAAATTATTGTATTTTATAGTTAAATGAATTTGTATTTCTAAGTCTTATTATTTAGAAGATTGTTGATGATAAAACTAAATGAAAAAGACAATAACTTATAAAAATGACCACCAGATAAGGAAGAATATGCAAAAGGCACAGACGCATGCTAAAATAATTGTGTTTTTACATTGATGCCACGAAATTCTATTTGTTAACCGATTTGAATCATTTAAAGTAGAATTATAGACAGAATTTCTGTTATTAATTTTAGCCATTGCTTGGTTTTGACGATCTATACTTGCGTTGTCTTCAAATGCTTGACTAAAAATGAGTTTATGATATTCAAAAAAAAACGTTATTCAATTAATCAAACAAACTCAATCAAAATGTCTGCTAATTGACTTGACCGATTAATAGAATCACGTTCTTCCCAAAGTAATTCTTGTTGCTTAGAAAATCCAGAACTAATAAGATGAGTATTATAAAAAATCGAATTTCAAGTAAATTTTTAATTATCAAACTTTGACATAACTAAATGAACATTTTGAGATGATCTTTTAATTCTATCTATTTCGTTTATATTTGTTCAGAATGAAGGTGATATTGATTTTTTTGTTAATTTTTGGAATATATCTATCTCTTGACATAGACTTTATGAATAAAAATTATTATTTTTATGACCACTTTAGTCATTTTCTCCATACTTTTTTTCACTCAACAACAAACGTCAAGTCTGTCAAAATAATTAACCAAAATACTACTATTAACAAATTAACAAATGGTGCTAGTGACTCTTGTGGTGCAAAGATTATGTTTAGTACTTCTTCTATTATTGTTTGTTCTTTTTAAGAAAAGAAACATTTTCCTAATTAGTTATAGGGAGGAGGAAATGTATTAACTGATGATCCTAATACATACCTTATTGCGCCGTGTTCTTCTAATATTACATTTATTATTCGACTTTGTGAAACAACACAAGTATTTCATTTTGAGTTTACTAACACTGAATTGTTTAGTGGAAATATCAAAGATTTTTCTTTAAAATGTTCTATGAATGGTATTGATTTTATACCAATTCTAAATGGAACAACTACTAATACTTTTAAGACACAATTGTTTGATATTAATGCTATACAATGTAGAGATATTCTATTTGAAAAAATAAGTACACATAAAAAAGATAGATATTGCACTATCTCACAAGTTAAAGTTAAAGGTTTATCAGTGTTAAATGAAGTTATTGAAGATTCTGCTTTAGTCACCCAAAATAATTTATCTACATCCCATCTTTCTAGAAACGCTGACACAAAACTCTTACTTGATGCTCAACAAAAGAAAGAACAAAATGTACTTGATACATATTTACAGTTTAGCTCTCAAAACATCAATAATTTAACATCTCTGTATGATGAATATCAAACTCAAATAGAACGATTAAGCGACTCATTAGAAACTCCATTCGTTTCAATAAATTTTCTTAAATTTAAATCACAACAACTTTTAGTTGAAGTCTTCAACATTAAAAATTATCTGATTCAAGCATCAGACACATTGAGAAAATGGGTACGTGATAGATGGAGTGCAACTCAGTTAAACAAAAAACGACAACATGACATGGAATTTGATTATAAGAAGGTTATGGAGAAGGTTACTTTAATCAATTCATCAATGGTTTGTTAAATTATACATACATTAATATTACAAATAATAAGAAACAGTAGATAATAGAGTAGAGAGGAATTACATTTCAAAACCAAATAATGAAGAGTAATTCAAAACGAATTACTTTAGAAATGAAAGGACTAAATGAATCATTTACGACTTTCTTTGAAACTACAAGTTCAAAAATTAGTAAATACATAATTCTTTATTTTGTCATTGTTTTAACTATGTCAGTATTATATCTAACATGGTTATGTGTATTATCTAATAAACTTGATGAGTATCAAATCAAGTTAAATAAAGAATGAAAGAAATAAATTACAATAAAAAAAACATCAATTAAGACTAGAAATACTGAAATCTTTGAAAGGAAATTCAATGTTAGGAACTTCAGTTAGTTTTCTTCTTGATGTAGTCCATTGGATTGACTCTTTAGACAAAGTTCTGAAATCATGTGTAGAGTGTTCAATAATGATTCTATCTTTTAAAGGAAAAGTGTCTTTTGTTTTTTCTAATACATGACTGTTTTCACGTACTTTTAATATTAACTTCATATCTTCATCCAAAGGATTGTACTTTTTAATTGTTCTTGATTGATATATTTCTGTTTCTTGTTTAGTGAGTTTATTGTTATAAATGTCTTTAATCCAACATAATGTTGACCTATAAAGAATAAAATAATGAAAGTGTTGACGAACAATATCTGACCAATGAGTGAAGAAGAAATAGAAACTATCATTAATTAAATAAGTTATAATAGGCACTCTTGATTCAGTTGGAAAAGTTTGAATGGAATGATAAAGTGTGTCTATTAATTTTGTTAATGCATATGAGTTATCAGCAAGTTTTGAAATATGAAAAGCATTTATTAAGAGTTTACTATCAAATGGTAATTGAGTCAAAGGATTAAAAACATCGTGGTGTTGAGTAATTAAATTAATGTATTTATTGAACGTATTAGCCATTTTAATAACTGACTGATAATTTAAGTAATTTGTATTTGTAACAACCATTGAAAATATTTGATTAAGTAAAGTTGAGTCAACACTAAATAAGAATTTATTCAATGAATAACCTTGTTGATGTCTTATTGATTCCCCATGAATTTTAAAATATTTTGATAAAAGACATTGATATTCAACTGACTCATTTAATAGTTGTTCAAAATTATCATTTTCTAATGCACCAAGAACAAATCCTTTAGTAATACAAACAATAAAATCATTCATTGAATAATATTGAAGAATTTCATTAATATCTAAATTATCATTTGGAATTGCAATTTGATATTCTTCTGGTAATACTCGTTCTATCATTTTATTTGGTAATGAATCAATAATTCTAATTCCACCATCTGGTATTTCAATAATTTTCATTAATCCTAGATATAATGATGGAAGAACAAGACATGCTCTTCCAATAATCCAACCACATAATTTCATAATTACCTTATTTGATTCAATAACAATTACTTTTTCATCATACATTCTCTTAAATATTCTTTCAATACATTGGATAGTATGAATAAATAATCTTTTGTATTTACTAAATATTCCAAAACAATCATCAATACATTTTCTTTTAATTGCCTTTGTTACAATACATTCTTGAAACAATGTAAATATTGGGCTATTAATTAACCTTACTTCATTCAGTTTTTTTTTAGATTTCAAATATTAACAAACTGCTTCATGCAATTATAAATAATCTGTAGTATTAGTGTTAAAGTTTTTTCATGTGATATAATGTCAATTAAACTAATACAACTATTCCAAATAGAAATAATAGTATTTGCAATGTTTTCTCCATCTTTAATTTCCATGTGATTTTTATATTTTTGTTGTTCAGAGACTAATGCTAAAATGAGTTTTTTCATTTCTTCCTGAAAATTACTAAGTTTTGCCTATACTACTGTTAATAAATTTTATCGTTACTTTCTACTGAGTAATAAAGTTAAATAAATTCCAAACAGTTAACCATGTTTTAAAAGTTGTTTCTGATAATCCTTTTGATGTTTCAATGAATTTTCTTATTTGTTGTTCAGAGAGTTGAATTTGTTGCATATTTCTTTATTATCTTTAGTATTGGTTTTGAAGTTTAAGGAATGAGAGTTTTATTCTTCAGTATGTGTAGAATTTACATAACTTCATTTATGAACAAAAAATACTAATAACAAATTTTTCATTCTTCTTTGTTATTCAATTTTGTTTTTTAATTTTTGTTTTAATGAATATGTTATTCTCTATCATAAAAAACCGTAACACTAATAAAAAACAAATCATTGATAACACTTTGATTGCTGAGAACATACAGGGATTTGAGAAAGAAC